TACACAGATATTTTATTTATGAATAGCAACATAGAATTTAGAAACTATTCTTGATTTTGGTAACAGAAAAATGTCATGTTTTTGTGACTAAAACTATATCAATAACTTTCAATGTACCAGACTGTGCACTAGTTGCTAGGAATACAGATTTGAACAAGAAAGGTAAGATTTCTGGGCTTATCAGACCTAGAGTCTAGAAAAGAAATTATACATTAAATAAATAACAGAATATTTAATTATAGGTTTATCAGTTATAAAGTATAAAATACTATGAAAAAATATATATCAAGAGAATTTATCCTAATTGGGGCCTCTAGGGACATAGAATTCTGCTGCTGAAGGGCATGAATTAAGTACACAAAGGTGGTTGTGCATCTATGGTGGTAAGCTGCAGGGAGCGAGGGCATCAGGGCAAGACAAAGATTGGTATGGCTGAAGCCACAAAGAGTGGTACAGGTTGAATCTAGCAATGTAATAAAGGCTTATCGGCCATAAAACTTACATTTTAATTAATTCCTATGGGATATATATATATATACACACACATATGATAGATATTAGATATGAGGCTGTTGTGGTACTCTGGACAAGAAATAATGATGGCTAGGACTTGTGAGGGAATAATGGAAAGAAATTGTTGGATTCCACAAATAGGCAGTAGAATCTATTGCTTCCCTTGCTTAGTTTCTATTCCTACTAATATTTGCAAATTTTCAAGTATTTTTACTGTTTTTTGGTCCAGTTTTTTTCTCTTTGGCCATTGTCTTTCTTCTTGTGATTTTTAACCTTTATTAATGTTTTACTGCTATTTTAATAGAGATTCTGAAGGGAAAGACTCAAGCAGTCAGCCTGTCTTATTTAACTGAACCATACCCCAACTGATTTGAAATGTCGCCTTTAGCATAAATTAATCCTAGTTAGCCACACACTGATTCAGGGTTTGTCTGTTACTGTGCTAGTACTGCATCATTTTAATGTTTTTATGTTTGATGGCAGTTACCACCCTCACCGTCATGCTTTTTTCCAAACACACTGTCTAGTTTTATGTATTTTATCTTTCAAGCAAATTTTAGAATACCTTCACAAAAATATTCCGTTGGGATGCCTGTATTGGTTGTTCAATTTTTTTAGAAGATTAATTTGGACAGAATTGACATTTTTATATTGAATCTTCCTATCCTAGATCTTTCCTTATTTTAAATGTCATTAGAATATTTTATAATTTTCTTATATCTGAGTGAGCATTTTTATTTTAGCTCTAGTCCATATTTGTAGACTTTGTTGTTATTAAGATGTCTTGCCAATGGGTTTCAGCCCCGGGCAAGTTCGCTATGGATTCAATGTGACCAAAGAAAGTGACAGCAAAACGTTTTCTGGGGTGAAAAGTTTATTACCCGACTTGTTCTTCCAGCGGTAGATGGAGCACTAACATCTCTGCCTCCGCCCAGAGTACTGGCCGAGCTCTCTATATAGCACAGTGATAGTTTATTGCCTAAAGGTGTGGGAGTGGTAGCCTAGCAACAGGCCAGTTACATCATCAGGTGGTTTAAGTTCAGTGAGGACCGTCGCCATAGGAAGCCCAACGACTCCACATACGAATATCTCTTTTTCCTCTCAATGATGTTGTAGTTGGTTATTACTATTCAGGAAAACTTTTGATTTGATTTTTCTATATTGCTCTAGTGTCTAAGTCACTTAGCCGTGCTCTTCTAACTAACTTTAATAATTTTTCAACTGATTCCTTCAGACTTTTCAAGGTAGTTATCATTCTTTATTATCTGTAACTCTTGGGGGGAAAATGCCGGGGCAAGATACCTCTAAAACTAAAATCAGTCAAAGGGAGAAATAAAGTTAAGAAACCCATTTCTTTCTTTCAAGCAGTCGTCAGGTCTCTCTCTAGACCAGGCTGCAGCAGAAGAGCGAGCTCCACCCATCCTCTCTGGTGCAGATAAACCCTTGTAGGCCCTTGTAATTACCTATTGATATGTAGATGCCTAATTTCTCCACCCCTTGAAAACACCTATTGATATACAGATTAACTAAAGCCAGATGAGAGATTCTGGAAATATTGCAATTTTATCCACTTCTTAAAATGGCGAGCTTCTCCACTAGAATTGGGTTTTTAATTTTATTTGGTATATTTGAAGCATTGAGATGGTTGTGGTTTTTTTCTTACACTATGATAATATGTTAAGTTACATTATATATTTCTTAAGGTTGAATCATCTTGACATTACTAGCATGAACTATACTTGGCTATTAATTGTTTTTTTAAATATTTGAGATTCAGTTTGCTAATATGCTATTTAAGGTATTTGCAGAAATGCTCATGAATGAGTTTAGTATAATATTGAGTCTTGAAATCCACATAGAAGTTAAACTTTTAATCTTTTGTTTTTAAAATATGGACTATTTCTTTCTAGGTCTTATAGAATTTATTTTTAAAGGTATTTGTTCTATTATAGCCTATTTCCTTTTTTCTTCTTTCTTCTAAACTTCAGTAATTGACATTTTCCTAAGAAATCTCTTTACTGGATTTTAAAATAAAGTTGATCCTTGTATTCTCTTTAATCTTCTTTATGCCTGCAGTTATTTTCTCATTGTGTTCCTCACACAAACTCAGAACCAGATGGCTTCACTGGTAAATTCTATCAAACATTAAAGAACAATTAAAACTCATACTTCACAAACTCTTCCAGAAAAGAGTGAGCCAGACAAACAGCAGTGTGCTTGTGGGGCAGCTCCAGGTTATTTGTGTCTTTTCTTTTTTTAATCAGACTAACCAAGTATTTATCTATTACTGTTAGCCTTTAGAAGAGCTAGCATATTGATCAAATCTGTTGTGTTGTTTGCTGTGTTTGTTTTAATTGATCTCTGAATTTCCTATCATCTTGTCAATTTTGGTCTTTCATGATATCTCATACTTTCCCTCCCATTGCCCTTTGCTAGTGGAAGGATTCTTCAGTTTGCTTGTCCTTCCCATTATAGCTTAATCTTACTTCTTTCTCTTTCTTTTCCCCTGCCAGTAATTCTGTTTCTTGGAGATTAGTCCTTCTGTTTGTTGATTTACAGAGGTGCATTCATGCTGCTGCTAGTTTTCATAAGTGTTTGGTGATTTTTGACTTGTTCATCTTTGTAACTGAAGGGTCTAGATTAAATTATCAATTTTTCTCTGGCTCAAATAGAAATACCATTTATATATCACTGAGTCTAGCGTCTGATTAAAGGCCCTTCTTCCTCTAGTGATTACAGAGGAGTGAATTTGGAAGAAATTTACCTTCTGAATTTGGGGACTTTCCTTTCTTCCTGTAATCTCTGAGGAAATTGGGACATTGCCTGCTTCTCTGACTCCTACCCAAGGTTCCCTCTTTAGAGAGCTTCCTATTTCATATATAAAGCTTTAACATATACTAGAATTGCCTTTTGATTATCCATGTCTGAGTGATTATTGTAGATTTCATTTATGTTTAAGTTTTTTATAAGGTTAATTCTCTCTCATTACTCTTTGTTGTAATTTTCTCATTTTTTCATATGCTTTTAGGGAAATTTATTTAAAAAGAACCATTGTATCTTTATAGTAGCTCATGTTATTTTTTAACTCATATGTAAAGTCAGTAGTAAATTGGCTTGTTAGGAGAAACCATTTCTTCACTCTCCTATAGCATCCCAATAAAAGAGGGGGGATGGGTGTATGCCAGGTGTTAGGACATTTTATTCATGACAGAAGTAACTCTGGGGAGGGGAAATCCCAGGGCAAAATATCTTTGAGGCCAAAATCAGTCAAAGGGAGAAATAAAGTTTAAAACCCATTTATTGCTTATAAGCAGGCACCCCACGTCTCTCTCTCTCCTGCTGTGGCAGAAGTGAGCAGATCCTCCCCCAACCTCTCAGGTCCAGGTGAACCCTTGCTCACCCATGTAATTACCCATTGACACGGAAGTGGATTCCATCCCTTGGAAACACCTGTTGATGTGGAGATGCACTAAAGCCAGGCCAGAGATTCTGGAAATAGTGCAATTTTACCCACACAGAGTATGGAATGAAAACTGTTAGGATAGATCCATGCATGTCAGGGAAATTGTGTTAATGTTGCAACATCCTGGCTTAACTGGAGCACCAGGGGAAGAAGTTCCACCCACACCTACCAGTTCCTCTCTGCCTTTCCCACCAGTCAACTCTGAGTTGCCCCAAAGCCAAACAGTTCTCTTCCAACCCTGAACCAAGGGGAAGATACTTAAGACAGCAAGACCCCATGTCCCAACTCTCCTCTTTAGGATTAAATAGTCTGGAGCATAGCCGGTCAACTATGAACACAACCAAGTGAGGAATTTCAAGGAAGCTTTGACAAGATCAATAAGAATAAACATCTGGATTTAACTCCAGAAAAAAGTACTACCTGGGGAAAATAAAGTCTTGACATATAGTCTGAAACTGCCTATAAGAAAGGACTAAGGAATGGTCCTCTACACATGAGTTCTGGACTCAGCGGGGCTTCAGCTAGTCCAGTCTGAGCCTGCTGAGCCCATTAACCTGGGGATGCCCCACAAGCACACTGCAGTTTGTCTGGCTCACTCTTTTCTGGAAGACTTTGTGAAGTATTAGCTTTAATTTTTCTTTAATGTGTGATGGAATTTACCAGTGAAACTGTCTGGTTCTGAGTTTGTTGGAAGTTTCTTTGATCACTAATTCAATCTCTTTACTTTTTTATGTGTCTATAAATATTTCATCTTGAGTAATATTTTTAAATTTGAAAAATACAAAGCCAAGTGTAAGGGTGGTAAATATGTATAATGTAGTCTGATAAAGCCCAATCGCATATGAAAACCTGCCTTGTTAGTAATTATGGGAAGTCAGTTTGAAACTTAGACTGTTTAACAGTATGGTTTTTTAAATGTGATTTTTACAAAAGAGTGGATTGTTAATGTCCTTTTATTTGAATTATTTATAATCGTATTTTATAATGGCTTGAAATTTAAGGGTTTATTGTTGTTTCATCTCAGCAGCGATGCAGCAAGTGTTGGATAACCTCACAGACCTGCCTTCATCTACAGGAGCAGAAGAAATAGACCTGATTTTCCTCAAGGGGATTATGGAGAATCCCATTGTAAAATCACTTGCTAAGGTATATTGGTTTATTCATAAGATTTTAAATTTGTTTTTATAGAGGTGTTTTCAGGCATTTCTGTTTTAGAAACTTAGTTGATATGTCTTAGGCTTAGCAGACAATAACATTTATCATGTAATGAAATCTTTGTGGACCCCAAAATTAGACCACTTAGGCCGTTTCTATACTGAATTTAAATATAGGATAAAATGACTTCTAGTTTTAGCCTAACACATATAAAGTTTTAGGGAAATCATAACTGAACAATCATGTCTTAACAGGCTTCTGAAGAAGATCCTGGTCATATCTCCATTTTCAACAATAGCAACGTACTGATTTTCTCCTTTTACATTAGACTGTGCACCTGTTTTTCATGTCAGTTATTGACTGCCTGTATCTAGTACTTTTTAAATCTTGTTTTTCTTGGTTAACCATGCTATTTTAAGTCTGTTTCCATAATAACTCTGTAGTAAGCTCCTTAATTCATCCATATGTATGCTTTTACAATCATTTTTGGTTGTTTTATTTCACTTAATAAAATTTCCCTGTAAAAATTTGTGTAAACATCACTAAAGCTCAGTGTATTCACTACTTCTGTGCCCTCCCATTCTTTAACATTCCCCCAAATGATTTTTGCTTTCAAGAACCTATGCCACTTGCCCTCTGACCTTTCCTTCATGTAGCCATCTTGTTCCATTTGCTTTTTGCACTCCTAGAATGTTGATTTCCCTCTTGTGAGATCATTGTTTAGTCACAGTCGGTTACTCCTTTTATTGTAACTTCTGAAAAATATACCCTTCACGAAGTTTTCTATTAGATTGTCTTAATGATGCAGTCTTCATTTTCTTCACAAACTTAATCATTCTAAGATCACATGATACAAACAAAGACTTTGGTTCCTAAGTAGAAATGAATCCACCACTTTCATAGCATCCAACTGGACGAATCAGCAGGAATTTTTTCTTTTGTCATTTTTTATTGCAGTTTTTACAAAGTTTACTAAATAGTCCTTTATTTTCATAATATATAGGATATGATTTAACTTCAAATTCAAACTTCTTTGTCAAAAACATCAATCACTGTGCTGTGTTGAGATAAAGTAATACCTTCAGGGTCTATTGAAATAAGTAGGGGCTGTTAAAGCTTATTCCCTTCAGTTTCATGGTACTTTTAAGATAGTTTTTGATTTTGATGTCATACTGTTGTCAGTTTTATTGTCAATTATATATTACATCTAGTCCCCATGTTTATTTGTTATAGCTTTTGATCTGTATATTTAGAAACTAGACAATATTACATAGGCAGGATTAAAGTTGGTGGCGTGAGAGGTGAGACAGAAACTTCCTCTCAAAACCACATATAATATGAAAATATAGCAAATACATCAAATCCTGAAATAACAACAGGAAAAAAGCCTGTGGCAGACTGTCTACACCTGGGGAAACCAGCAGACCTCAAGGAAAATGGTAACATCCCAAAGCTGTAATCTGGAGGGACCCAAGCCCTTCCCCCACCCCAGCTCACCAGAGGGATAAGGAGAAATGGAGCGGGGAGAGGGTGGAGGCCTAGAATTGCTGAACACCCAGCCCTGGAGATCTGCTCTGGAAGCATGAACCTACATTACATGATGCTCTGGAGATAAGTGGGGTTGGAAAGCTGACAGGCAGAATATTTGGAGAGACTGAGATTCCAGCCACTTGTGGAAAACAGGGATCCACATCTAGCCGCTCTGGGACAAAAGAAAGGCAGGCAGTCTGAGAGACTTCCTAACAGCAAGAGGGCTGCTAAAGGGGCAAGGACTGCACAGAGCTCACTGCTCAGGAGAAAGGACAGGTGGACAAAACTGTCAGGTGCACTCTGCCCAGCAGGTTGGGAGCTGTCAGGAGCTTCAGGTACTTCATCCCCATGGCTGGCTATGCAGCACCAAAGCTCCCCACCATGATACGTAGCCTGCTGCACCTTCCTTCCGGCCAGAACGGTCTTGAAATCCAGCTGCTCCTGCCACTGTGTGAGGCCAGCCAGAGGGTGGCCCTGCCTATGGCAGTTACAAGCACAAAGTATAGAGGCTTCTCCCTGTGTACTTGGTCCACTGGCCCTGGCAGTGGAGGCAGGCTCTGCATCCAGGAAACAGAAAAGAGGTCTTTCTTCCCAATAGGTCCCAGCACCACTCGCCTACAACCCCTGCCATCACTTCAGGGTCTGAGCAGCTCTAAAGAGTAGAGCCTGTCTCTAGAGGGTGCCAATATCAGACCAATATCCCTGATGAACATAGATGCAAAAATATTCAAAATATTAGCAAATCAAATTCAAAAATACGTCAAAAAGATCATCCATCATGCTCAAGTAGGATTTATTCTAGGAATGCAAGGATGGTACAGTATTAGAAAATACATCAATATCATCCACCACATCAACAAAAAGAAGGACAAAAACCACATTATCTTCTCCATAGATGCTGAAAAAGCACTCTACAAAATTCAACATCCATTCATGATAAAAACTCTCAGCAAAATGGCAAGCACCTCAACATTATAAAGAACATATATGACAAACCCACAGCCAACATCATACTTAACAGCGAGAAGCTGAAAGCTTTTCCTTTAAGATCAGGAGCAAGACAAAGATGCCCACTCTCCCCACTTTATTCAATGTAGTACTGGAGGTCCTAGCCATGGCAATCAGACAACACAAAGAAAGAAAAGGCATCCAGATTGGTAAGGAAGAAGTTAAACTGTTTGTGTTTATAGATGACATGATATTGTACATAGAAAACCCTTAAGAATCCACCCTAAAACTACTAGAACCAATAATTGAATTCAGCAAAGTTGCAGATACAAAATTAATACACAGAAATCTGTTGCATTCCTATACACTAACAATGAACTAGCAGAGAGAGAAATCAGGAAAACAATTGCATTCACAATTGCATCAAAAAGAATAAAATACCTAGGAATAAACCTAACTGAGGAAGTGAAAGACCTATACCCTGAAAACTACAAGACACTCATGAGAGAAATTGAAGAAGACACCAATTAAGTGGAAATACGTTCCATGCTCATGGATAGGAAGAATTAGTATTATCAAAATGACCATCCTGCCTAAAGCAATCTTTAGAGTCAATCCAATCCCTATCAAAATACCAATGGCATTCTTCAAGGAGCTAGAGCAAATAGTTGTATAATTCACACGGAACTACAAAAGACTCCAAATAGCCAAAGCAATCCTGAGAAGGAAGAATAAAGCTGGGAGGATTATGCTCCCCAACTTCAAGCTCTATTACTAAGCCACAGTGATCAAGACAATTTGGTACTGGCACAAAAACAGACCCATAGATAAGTGGAACAGAATAGAGAGCCCAAATATAAACCCAAACATATATGGTCAATTAATATAGAATAAAGGAGCCATAGATGTACAATGGGGAAATGACAGCCTCTTCAACAGCTGGTGCTGGTAAAACTGGACAGCTGCATGTAAGAGAATAAAACTGGATTATTGTCTAACTCCATACACAAAAGTAAATTCAAAATGGATCAAAGACCTGAATGTAAGTCATGAAACCATAAAACTCTTAGAAGACAACATAGGCAAAAATCTCTTGAATATAAACATGAGCAACTTTTTCCTGAACACATCTCCTCAGGCAAGGGAAACAAAAGCAAAAATGAACAAATGGGACTACATCAAGCTAAAAAGCTTCTGTACAGTAAAGGACATGATCAGTAGAACAAAAAGGCATCCTAAAATATGGAAGAATATGTTTTAAACAATATATCTGACAAGGGGTTAACATCCAAAGTATATAAAGAATTCACACTCCTCAACATCCAAAAAGCAAATAACCCTATTAAAATATGGGCAGAGAATATGAACAGACACTTCTCCAAAGAAGAAATTCAGATGGCCAGTAGGCACATGAAAAGATGTGCCACATTGCTAGTCATCAGAGAAATGCAAATTAAAACCACAATGAGATATCACCTCACACCAGTTAGGATGGCCACCATCCAAAAGACAAACAACAACAAATGCTGGCGAGGATACGGAGAAAGGGGAACCCTCTACACAGCTGGTAGGAATGTAAATTAGTTCAACCATTGTGGAAATCAATATAGAGGTTCCTCAAAAAACTAAAAATACAAATACCATTTGAACCAGGGATTCAGCTCCTAGGAATTTACCCAAAGAAAACAAGTTATCAGATTCTAAAAGACATATGCACCCCTATGTTTATCGCAGCACTGTTTACAATAGCCAAGATATGGAAGCGACCTAAGTGTCCATCAGTAGATGAATGTATAAAGATGTGGTACATATACACAATGGAATACTATTCGGCAGTAAGAAAGAAACAGATTCTACCATTTGCAACAACATGGGTGGAGCTGGAGGACATTATGCTCAGTGAAATAAGCCAGGTGGAAAAAGACAAGTACCAAATGATTTCCCTCATTTGTGGAGTATATAATGATGAAGTAAAACTATAGGAACAAAACAGCAACAGACTCACAGACTTCAAGAAGGGACTAGCAGTTACCAAAGGGGACAGGTGTGGGAGTGTAGGTGGGTAGGGAGGGAGAAGGGTATTGAACGATATTATGATTAGTTCACATGGTGTTTGGGGAGTTATGGGAAAGATAGTGTAGCATGGAGAAGACAAGTAGTGAATCTGTGGCATCCTACTATACTGATGGACAGTGACTGCAATGGGGTATGAAGGTGGGGACTCGATAATAAGGGTGAATGTAGTAACCATAATGGTTTTCATGTAAAGGCTTCATTAGAGTGTTTATCAATGATATCTTACTAAAAAAAAATTACCTAAGTCATTTTACAACATGCTCATAGTTTACAAAGGTCTTTAAAATATATTGTACTGCTTTATAAAGCAATAACTTTATGAACTGAAAATTGACTCAACATAGAAAAGTTATTCGCTTAAGTCACTTTCCTCGTAAGTGACAGAGATGAATTTTGACCAGATCATCTTTCTTCTTCAAATTTTGTGCTCTTTTAGT